CACCTAGAAGATCTCCACGCTGCGCTCCGCGGGGTCGGGCCAGGGCAGCGGCGCGCAGCCCGACCTGGCGGGGAACGGGGGCGTCGAGGGTGAGGGAGGGCCGGCGAGCGGCGCCGCCGCCGGCGAGCGGCGCCGCGCCGGCGGCGAGGCGCCGCGTCGGCGGCAGGCGGCCCGGCGGGCCACGCGTCGTCTCCTGCAGGCCACGCAAGCCACGCTGCAGACCCCCGCCCCCTGCAGCGCTGGCAGGGCCGTCGCATGCCGCCCCCACTCCAGCGTCCTGGGGCGACGAGCCCACGACGCGCACGCTTTCCCTGGCCACGCTGTTCCGCGCGGCGGGGTCGGAGGATGCGGAGCTGGCGGCCGTGCCGGAGAGCTCCGTGCTGCAGGCGGCGGCGGCGGCCGCCGCCTCCTCCGCAAATCGCCTCTCCGCCGCCTCCTCTGCAAATCGCCTCTCCGCCGCCTCCTCTGCAAATCGCCTCTCCGCCGCCTCCTCTGCAAATCGCCTCTCCGCCGCCTCCTCCATCCAGCGCCTCTCCTCCGGCGCATCCAGCTCGCGAGTACTGGCCGGCGCGGGGCCGGGCGCGCCGCCGCCCCCGGCCTCGCTCAGGTCCTCGCTCTCCTGCGGCGGGCTGGAGACCTGCGCGGCCTCCGACGCCGGCGCCTCCCACACCGCTTCCCACCCCTCCCCGGCATCCTCCATCGGCTACGAGACGTGGATGGTGCTGGAGCTGTGCGACCGGGGCTCGCTGGAGACTGTCATCCGCAAGCGGCGCTTTGTCTCCGCAGCCACGGGCCGCGTCATGCTCAAGCCCGTGCTGTACAGCCTGCGCGACATGGCGCGCGGCATGGCCTACCTCCACGCCCACAACATTGTGCATGGCGACCTGAAAGCAGGTATGAGGTGTCGAGGGGGCTAAGTGTGGAGGGCCATGGATGTTAACAGGAGGGGGATTGGCGAAGGACTGGCATAGATGGCAACAGCTCGCGGTATATACGCGGGGGCGGGGGGGGGGGGGGGGGGGGCCGGCGCGCGCGCAAATCAGCCACCCTTCCTGCAACCCCCAAGTGCTCACCTGGCGGGGAGGGAGGTACTTGTGGCCACCGGAGATGTGCTCCGGGCTGCGTGCGTAGGTCCAGCGCCGCAGGAAGGGAGCCAGCAGCATGAGCAGTTTGCGCTGTACTGCGACAGGGGCAGGGTGGAGTGAGGGGAGAGCGTGTGAGGAGACGGAGTGAAGCGGCAAGGGGGCCACATGAGGGAATGGATTCCTCAACATGAAGGACGGGACAGCACCCTCCTGCTGTGTAACGAACGTCTGCAGGGGACAATGAAGGACTCTCTCCTTGCATGGAACAGGCCCATTCCATCAACGCACCATAGCCGGGGGTGATGCTAAAGTGGTAGTGCATGGTCCCACCGGAGAGGAAGCCAAGGTTGGACTGCGACAGACATGTGAGGGCAGAACAATCCTGTGAACCTTCAGGTCCAGGCACTCAGGCAGCATGGCTTTCCAGTCAGCCTGTGCTTCCATCTTGGGCAGTTAGGTATTGCCTCAAACAACCCAGCCAGCCGTACTCACCACATAGAGGCGACCGCGCTGTAGGTAGGACTCCCCTTGCTGTTTGAGGACGTCACCCGCCATCCCCGTCAGGAAGGGACTCCCTCCACCGAATGGGTCAAAGACTGCATGTGACCCGCTCGGCCCTGCCACGGGATGCGCGGCCTGCGCTTGAAAGAGACGGTGGGGCGAGGGGTGACAGGTGCGGGGGTGCCCGGCCCACTCCCCCCTGTCGTCGCGAGATCCCGCAGGTACGCACCGGGGGCGGGACGAAAACGGAAGGCTGTGCATTCTGGGGAACTGACGTGGGCACCCAAGTGCTGCCGGCGGCCCCGAAAGCCTGAAATGGCTGTGCCATCCAGCGCAGATCACTTGAGGACCGTCGCTTGTCTAGGGGATGCCGACCAAGTCAGGCAGTAAATGGAAGTGAAACGTCGAGGATTATCGAGAATAGCGCTCTACCAACGCCAGAGACACCGGAGCATCGAACAGAAAAAGAGGTCGCCCAGAAGTTTTTCATGCACCTGGCTGCTGCTGGCCCCCGCGCTCGCTAAATAGTTCGCCTATGGTTTGCGATGGGGCGAGCAAGAAAATCCCCGTATCCTATTATGACGTCCGCCCATTCCTCACACCATGCATTCAGTAAAATGTATGCCTCCTAAATAAAGCGTCCCCGCGCGCGCTCGCTGGCTGCTGGGGAGTGGAGGAAAGTGCAGGGGCCCAGCGCTCATGCAGGTGGCACTTCACAGGCCCTAAGCACCCTTACCAAATCCACCCCAACCCCTACCTCGTCCCCGCAGCCAATGTGCTGCTGAAGAGCGCAGAGGGGAGCAGCAACGGGTATGTCGCCAAGATCGCCGACTTTGGCCTGTCCCAGATGATGGATCCGGGGCAGACGCGCACCCTCATGCGCACCATGGGCAGCGTGGGGTGAGTTTTGATGGTGTTGGCTGTAATGAGGCTCGGGTGGGGTGATCGTGAGTTTGTGAGCAAAGGCCGCCACCATCCTCGACACGCACCACGATGGGTTCTGAATTCCAGGGCGCTGGTGCATAGGCAACCTTGCTGCCCACCTGTGAAATCCTTGTCACACTCTGCATACTCCTGCGCAGGTACATGCCCCCCGAGGCCATGAAGCACGGGCACCTGACCAAGGCCACCGACATTTACTCTGCCGGCATCCTGGCCTGGGAGCTGATCACCAGCACCATCGCATTTGCGGGGATGACGGCAGCCCAGGTCTTCTTCTGCGTCCTCACAGAGGTGGGGTGTGTGTTGAGGTTTGGCGCGTGAGCCCATGGGCTGGGTGCACAAAGATGGAGGGAAGCACGGGCTGAGGCGCCTCCTGCAGCTCCGTCCCTCGGAACATGCGTGGCCCCTCTGCAAACACCCCCTCCCGCCATCCCTCGTCTGCAGGGCTACCAACCCCCCATTCCGGACACCTGCCCCCCTGCCCTGGCTAGCCTGATCCGGGACTGCCTGCAGCGGGAGCCGAGTGCGCGCCCCAGTTTTGACAGCATTGTCGTGCGTGTGGAGGCCATGCTGGCCGACCTCTGAGCACGCCCCCCCTGTGCACCACCGTGCGGTGGCATGCGCCCGCACGCCAGAATGCACCATTCTTTTATCCTGTCTTCTCAAACACCAGCGTTCTCATTGATGCTGTCCTCTGCTAACCCCCCTTTCTCCCCTTCGAGTAGAGGGATGTACTCAGGATTTGATCCCTCCCTCCACACTTGGTACTTCTTTGAGGGGGCACCCACTCCTGCCCAGTGTGGCCCTGCACAATGGGCATCCACTCAGGTTGATGCCATCTTTATATGTTATTAGCAGGATGTCATGTAATCGGCCTCATGCGGAGAATGTGCCCCTGGAGGGAAGATTGAGAGGCGCAGTCCGGCAAATCGATCGCAATCTCGGTCGGGTGCCGGCCCGCCCGATCCAGTACTTGTAGAAGAGTGACAGGTGTTCTAACACACGGACACCGATCGTATAATACGTTTGAAAGGTCTCAATCCCATGTTAAATGGTGTGGGATAGGTTGGGAGCCGCAATGGCACCCGTTCTGCCGGTATAACAGGGCCCTGGGGTGGGTGGGTTGCACACCCAAGCCTTTCGCTGGATGATTGGCTTCGTCAAGGGCTTGACCAGCGGGACTTCCTTCAAAGGTACGCATAAAGAGTCTTTGCCTTCTCAAGGCCGGCACCCAGGCTGTGATGAGGCCGGGGGCCGGCGTTCGGGAGTAAGTTCATGCCTGGCTGAGCCGGCTCACATGCAGGGCCGATGTGAATGACGTGCAGGGTTGATCGGCGGCCACGGCACGCCCCACTCCCTAATGAGGAGGTCACTAGCCATGACGGCCCGCCCAAGTGGGCAGTGCTGCCGCCTCGCGTGCACCAAGGCATCAGGGGTGGGGCTGGGAGAGGCACAGCTGCCTACCCAGACAGGCACCAGGAGATGGGCGCTGGGCTCCCTGGCACACTGGCACCGCTCCAGGCTGCTCTCAGACGCCATGGTGGCTGGAAGAGCGTCGTGCAGGGACCATGTCACCATGCAAGCCAGCCCAAAGTCCCCACAGCCAGTCTCCGAGGTCTGAGAGCGCACTCATGAGGCCAGCACAGCGATGCGAAGGAGGGCTATGCAGACTGCTTGGAGATAATGATGTCATGCAGCCACTTGGAACCCCGCTGCCGGTCCCCTGCTGCTCGCGTATTTGTGCTTATAAGGCCCCCCCTGCCCTGCATCCATCGCACAGGAGGTCGAGGGGTACTGGAGCTCCATACTGGAGGGCGTGGAGAAGCCGGCCGCCAGGAAGCTGGTGAAGCTGCTGGACCCCAGGCAGCCCATGGGACTGCCGGCGCCCAAGGTGGAAGAAAGCAACGCCAAACGCTCCGGGCCGGGGAAAGTCCCCCTGCTTAGGTTTTTCCTGGCGACCAAGGCCAAGTACCCCATGCATGTGCTCCTTGTGCGGGTGTGTGCAGCAGGGGAGTGGTGGATTGGATGGTGGGGTTGCAGGAGCAGTGTTGGCTGGAGGTTCCAGTGGGATCAGCGACATGTGAGGGGGACCATTCCTGAAATGCAGGTCTCTGTGTTTGGGAAAGGCTATGCAGGTGGCTGGGGCTTCGCGGGCCCACCGGAGATAGAGGCTGAGAGCCAGCCGTTTGAGTACGCCTGATGACCTCCTCGGCAGCTGACACCCACCTCCATCCTAACCATGCCTGCCCCATTCTCCGCACTCATCAGGTTGGAGAGTTTTTTGAGACTGTGGGCATCGATGCGGTGTTGCTGGTTCAGCACGCCGGCCTCAATCCCATGGTGCGCCTACAGAGTGGTGCCTGGACATCTGTCCTGAGTTGCTCAAGGATCACACTTAGGGTTGCCGCTCATTGTACCTGTTGCACCCCGCACGAGGGCCTGCCCTGCCGACCGCTGCATTCCCGCCAGGACAGGCACCCCTGCTATCGTATGTGATGGTGGCCGCTATGGCCGGGCTCCACGGCCGCATCTGCACTCTGGAACCATGCTCTCACCGCCGCCGTCACCCACACCACGCCGTGAGCAGGGCGACCCGGAGTCCACCGGCGCCCTGCCGCGCGCCGGCTGCCCGCGTCAGAATCTGCGCCGCACGGTCAGCGACCTGGTCGAGGGCGCGGGCCTGTCGGTGGTGGTGTGCGAGGAGGAGCCGGAGGCGTACAGCTACGGCTCGGTGCGCGCGCGCCAGAAGACGCGCTACGTGGCCGCCGTGGTCACCCCCGCCGCGCCCCACTTGCTGCTGGGCCTGGGCGGGGGCGACGCCGACGTGACACTGGAGTCTGTGCCCCCCGTCCTGGGCCTGTCGCCCAGCGTGGGAGGGTGAGGGCAGGGGTTTGGGGGAGTGGAGTGGCCTGACACACCTTGAGAGGTCGAGGCATCTGGGATGCACTGTGCCCAGCCTCTCCGCATGAACAACCTTGCCATGCCCCACTCCATCGTCAACCCCACCCCATGAAGGTACACCCTGATGGAGGTGCAGCCTGAGCTGCGGCGGCTGGTCGTCACAGAGGGCCTCACCGAGGACGCCATCCACTCCCGGCTGTACGAAGGTGTGAGGGTGGTTCTGGCAGGCTTTTGTTGATCCTTGAAAGGGCACACGTGGCTGGCTTGGTGCGGGGCTGGGCTGGCATGCAGTGTGGTGATGCTGACGTGGTACGTTGGTAAAGATCTTTCTGGGCAATGATGGGGAACCCCCTGTTCCTGCTGATGGAAGGGTGGCATGCCCCCACATCAGTCAGGCCTGTGCTCGTCAATCTGTTGTCTGGAAGTTCCAGCGCATCTCCGCGACCAACCCCTGCGCCAGGTGGCCTCGTCCCACCCCTCTTCCTGCACACGCCGCCGGGCCCCTCCGACGCTCGCCTGGGGGAGGCGGGGGCGGAGGCTGAGTGGGAGCTGCGCATCCGGGAGCTCTTCCGGCACCAGGTGACTGGAGTGTTTGACACGGATGGGGGACCTTGCTTGTCGACCCGAGCCACTTGCATGCAAGGAGGTTGAACCTCCAATTCTTGTCGCAGAATCCTTGCGATCCCTCGAACATCACGCAGCATCGCCCACCACCTACTCTGACACCCCTGACACGCACAGGTGGGGGCCGTGGTCAAGTACGAGGCGGCAGACCCGGTGGAGGGCATGCTGACCATGCTGCGGCGCCAGCTGAATCTGGACCCCAGCTTGCCCTTCACCACCACGCGCTCCATCGCTAGCGACCGCCCGCGCCCCCTCTACTTCTCCTCGGCGGTGAACCTGGGCCTGCACAAGAGCAGGGGGGTGCCCCCGCTGCTGGACTGCGTGCTCGGCCCCGGCGCGCCGCTGCCCTCCCGCCGCTGGCTCCGGCGCCTGCTGCTCCTGCCGCCGCCGCCGGCGGTGGGCCTGGCGGTGCACCGGGCTTGTACCGCCCTGCGCGACACGCACGCTGCGCTGCCAGAGTTCACGGTGACCGCGGCCGCCAACCTGGTGCTGAAGATTGAGCAGCGCCAGGCCAGCGACGTGTTTTATCGAGAGGTGGGGGCTGGCTGACTATGTGAGGTTGGTGCACTCATAACTTGTATCGGTGAAAGTGTGTGGCTCCTGGGATGAGCTGGGTCAACAGGCTGTGGGAGTGACTCGGCGCATGGCTGAGGATGCTGTACCGGTATGCTGTGCTGCAGTCTCAGTTCCCCACTGAGTCAGGAGGCTTGGACACCTTTATGAATACACCCGTTCACACCTCCTTGACAACCATGCATCCATTCCTGCCTCCCAATGCATACTCCTCCTTTCTCCAGCTGGCGGAGCTTTGTTGGGCGGTGGAACAGACGTGCTCAGACCCAGCTCATGCCGAGCTGGCAGATGCACTGCTCACTGTCTCCCAGATGGAAACGGGGCTGTTGTTTGGCCGTGAGGAGCTGGCTGAAGCAACCAGGTAAGGAGGGTGGTGGGAAAGGGGGACCAGCTGTGCCAACTTGACTTCCTTTGGGGAATGCTGTGTGCACAGCAGCTCTTTGTTTCACACCAGGATACTGGATCCCATGAAGAGAGTTGTTGCAAGGTAATGCTCCAACTCAGGCATGCAGTACCTAGCGATGCATCCTCTCACCTCATCCGCCTGCTCAGGTCGACCCAGCAACTGATCCATGAGGTGATAGAGCCGCATCCTGGACCTGGCCCCTCCCCAGTCAACAGCGAAGGTGAGATTGGTACAGCAATCGATACCACAGACAGGAAGGCAGCACTCGCCCTTGGAGCAGGATTATCAGTCTTGATGACTTCCCAAGTGCACTAGGGTTCACACGCCGTGCCTTGATATACCTAGTTTGAGCACCGGTGGCATTAATCAGCGTGATTGCAGGCACCTCGTCCGACGAGTCCGTATCGCATTACAGATGCAGGGTCCTCCCCCAGCACGAGCGGGGGCTTGGAGGTGATGGCCGCCTTCATCCGCAAGAACGAGGACTTCCGGGGCAAGGTCAAGGCCGACAGGCTGCCAGCGGTGCACACAGCGGTGTGTAGGTGGCTGTGCCTGTGCATATGGGGGCACATGGGTGGATGGCTGAGATCTACACTTGCACCATGCATTGATCTCACCGCCCCACCTTTCATCTGGCAGGTCATGAATGCAGGACTGAGGTTGGAAAAGGAGCTGCGGGCCATCTACGAGCCACTCCTGGAAGCCTCGGTCAGGGTGTGTTGTCGCGATGTAGATGACACATTTGTTGCGCCACATGGTCACTGACTTTGTGCGGGTTTTAGATTTCGGACAAGGCAGGACCTCGAAATCTCTGACTACGCTGCTGAGATTCCACATGGCCAATCCCAATCACCCCTGTTGCCGCACTCATGTGCAGGCGGGTGACCCAGTAAAACTGCGACCCATGCTGCGCCTGGATGAACACAACAATGCCGTCTGGCTGAGGCTCCCTCGGGCCTGCTCCGCACTCCACCTGGCAGACGAGCTGGGGCTTTGGCACCCCAAGGATCGCATGGGAAAGGTGCAGAAGTTGTTGGAGTCTTGACTTTGGGTGTGGTAACACGATGTGCATGACAGGGGCATAGTGCGCCAGCTTGGTTCTTGGTTGCACGGCTTGCTGTGACTTGCCAGTTCATCAGATTCCTCTCACCTTCTTCTCTTCCTGGGCCTGAAAGGCAAGTCTCCCTTCCCCTTCCCCTCCTCACATCACACAGTCGGAGCCCGGTGCCCACTCCCACTCGGCCGTCGACTCTGCCACGGATGACTACCGGCGAGCATGCTCCGAGGCCTCCAGGGCCGTGCGTCGTGAGCTGGACGACCTGGCTGCCAGGCTCCAGGTGGACAGGGTGGCTGGTGCATTGGTACTTTGTGGGAGTTCAGCGTCGAATCCCAGAGAGGAGGGGAGAAAAGGATTGTCCAGCATGTATTGAGGAGACGGGAGTGGATCGATGGCTGGCCCTGCAACAGGTACCTCCTTCCCTTCTCCATCTCCCCTCCCTTTGTCCACACTATCAGATTCCGCATCCCTTACCCCCCTTAACTCCTGCTCCTTGCAGCCCAGCCTGCCGCTGCTGGTCACGGCCTCCATGCTGTCCATGATGGCGGCGGCGCTGGAGGGCCACGTGCGCGAGGCCTCCCGTCGCGGCTGGCAGCTGCCCACCCTGGCCTACGGCCCGACGCCGCGGTGCGCG